TTATTCAGTTTCGGCTCTAGTTGGCGCTGTCTGCGAAAATGCATTATCCGCTTCACATGTCCTGGGGTCAACCTGTTTGGCATCTTCGTCAGCCAAGGACCAATTACTAGTATTCGACCGAAGTCTCAACATTATGAATGGCCGGCTTTAGCGAAACTGTGCGATTCGGACGATGCCTGTTTGGAAACACGACAAATCGTATCAATGCCAGATGCGAGCAATCTGTGAAAACAAATTAGCATAATTTAACCCATAATTGTGGACCATTCCCATTCAAAACAGACAAAGTATAGAATTGAAATGATGATATTAAGATTTTATTTCAAATCAACCTGTTATAAACTGCACACACGGTATATGGTTATTATCTTCGTTCGGGTGAGAACCACTTGTTTTCGATTCCTTACCAGTATCTTCACATTTTCAATGGTACGGCGGCCTTCCCTAAACGCACTCACACCCATCATAGTCCCAGAACATGGAATATGACTTGTTCAGGGAGTAAGGAAAGAGAAGATGTTCTAGAATAAAAACGTAAGTCACATCGATTCACATGAATTAACTCATATAAATCGAATGTATTTGTGAAAGTAACCCGACCAAAATGTACGTTGCGTCCTAGGTTGAGTCTAAGTCCGTCGACGAGGGCGCAGCAACTACACTGGAAATGATCACAGCCTCTGTGATAAGGTAATATTGATTATTCTGACAACTAATACATGGCCATGATTGGTCACTCATAGCCCTATTTAGCGTACATCATTTATTCACATCATGTTTGTATGATAGATACAAACTGCTTATTTGCAATGTCCAATTTAGGAGAGATGTTTACTAAAGGAATACACGGCGTGTATTGATGCATGTAGTACTGATATTTGATAACACATCTTGATAAATACAGTAGAGCATGATATAAAAGTGTTATTTCGACAACAAAAGTAGTTGGATTCATGGAATAAACAGATTAAAACACTAGTACGACAGCACTGCGTTTGACATATACGTACAGAATATTCAAAGCCCCCTGGCGATTTTGTTTATTTATTCAATATATAAGGTTAGTTAATTGCCAAAACGATGTTTTTATTTACATCAAACAATATTATTTGAACATGCTCCAAATACATAAATATGTATGGTGCTTTAACTCGAATAGTACTGGTATCTGTGCTAAAAACTTTAAAACGATTGGTGCAAATAAGCTGACATCAATAGAATAGACCCCGATAGTTAAAGGGCGGTAGTCGTCGCGCCACGCATGCGCGAAATATATGGGTCTCATATAAACAAAGATGGCGACTTTGGCTGTTGCGCAGATCAACGAGTACAAAGCTTTAATTAGGTATGTTTTAGGTGATTGGAAGGTATCAATAAAGTCACAGGCTGTAATTAGTGCTATTCGCGCCCAAGTCAAGCCTCATACTTATGATTTCCATTAGAAAAGCGCATTGGATTGTGGGAAAATCGATGTTTATCAACACAAATGTTGCACATGCGCGGTGTGACGACTACCGCCCTTTAACAGTTATAGGTGTGAACAAGAACTTCTTTAGTAGTCTGATGTCAAAGTCAGCATGTAAGCTACACATGCACGGACGACAGGAATTTGTAAATTACGAATTACTTTGTCGTGGTGCACAACTGAAACTGGAATAAAAAAGACCGACGTTGAGGACGTTCTTTGGCACAACAGTTTTGTAAATTTAAATTTTGAAAAAAATAGCCGAAAATTTTAAAATTCGGGGTGCAAAGGTTTGTGTTATCACAGTGTTAGTCCGTTGTAATGGCGTTAAGAATTGTAAATTTTTGAAATTTGAAAACAAGAATACCTCAGCACCTGTGTTATGCTATCTTGGACCTAATCGAAAGAGATATTCGTAAATATTGATTTTATAATTTAATTATGACCTATATTAGTTGTGTTCACGTTACACGAAGTACGGGCTAAGATTTAAGCTGATTTAGGCTTATCTAGCATATTTGCATTTCGGCTAGACCCAATTGCGTCCACGAACAGGGAGGGCCAGTCGTTAGCACGGGCTAAGGGGTGCCATTAGTCGGTGACATTTGGTAAGCCGCTATTTACGAACGAAAAACGGATGACACGCGCGAGGTTCTATTTCTGCTGCTGGCATGTTTCGTTCTAATTTTGAAGCGACGTGCACAGGAACGCGAGAGAAGACGGACCTAACTTATTTGGATGCACATAAACAGTATACAACGGTCGTAACAGAATACAGAGTTTTATTAATGCATGTCGTAGACAGCGAACCAAATTTATTTTGTCTACGATTGGAGCTGCTGTACGCTCTACTACAGTGACCCGATTAGTGTGGAAGCGAGGGCGGAGTAATGACTGGTGGAATAGTGTCGTTATACGAACATGGGACAATTTTCACACCCAAAGGTCGCCGCAGAGAGCGCTTAGCCCTGAGCTAAGCGTTCGCGCATACTTCGTTAGCCCGTGCTAAGGTCTAGACCGCGTCTTAAATTCGGATCAGATTTAACCCGTACTTAGCATTCCTTAGCCCGTGCTAAGCGTTCACGCACGTTTGCTTAGCACGGGCTAAGGAGCTGTGCGTGAACGCAACTATTGTTATCAGCCGACCATGACCTTGCATTTGAACTCCGTGTATTTATTTGGTTAAATCTACTATAGCTTAGAGTTACGGTTACGGAATTCATAGCTACCTAAATGTAAATACATATATATAATTTACTAATTCAGAATAAATATAGTTGTACATCCTACTATAGCGAATTGTGTAGTTTGACAGTAGAATGACATATGGAGTATACTAGCAACATGTACACGAATCCTATGAAGTGAGGAACTTCTGTGAGATTGCCAGATTTAAGACGAGGGAGAGAGGTGTACCAATCACATGCTGCGTAGACAACATGTCGCAGAGCGTCAGACCTCCCACTTGAGAATAAAGCAAACTTTTCCCAGGCAAATGTCGCCATGCCTGACAATCAACTACCTAACCATAGTCATGTACAAAGCGTGATTCGTCATGGTTGTTCATGATATGTGACCATGGTTGAGCAAAAACCACCATAGTAGTCCAATAGTCACAAAGTATACCGCACTGCAACCCCCAACCGTTCTATTGTTGTTGACAATATATGAAATAGGAAAAAGGAGGTGTACTTTTCTTCTGTATTTACACCACGTATAACTGGGGTGTAAAGATGGTCAAAACAAATTTGTTTGTAAGGGTGAAAAGCAAGTGTCACTAGCATTACAAAGAATAAATCACGGTATTCTCGTTATGGCAAATACAGACAATAAATGTGAATGGTTTATGAAAATTTGTACCATGATTGCTATGAATTGATTGTTGTCACGTCCCCTTATATTTAGACTCGTATATAAACATTTGTTGGCATGCCTTCCAAAAACGCTCTTGACATCACTGCTCTTATTGCATTTTTTATATAACCCCCTAACCCAGCAAAGATTTGTGTTTTTATTCCACAAAGACGCCATTTAAATCTTGGACATGCCTGAAGCTTGGCTTACGTTACAGATATTACATTTTAAAGTGATTGGTTTCAATTGTTGCCGTAGTTTAGGCATATATTAATATATACTTAATATATAATATGTTAGTTACCCTATCTGTCTTGAGCACCCCACAACCAACAGAGTTTGTATATCATAAATACAATGAAAATTATATCATATTTAATATTTTAACAATAAAGCCAATGTATATTATCTAACTAACGTATAAGATACCAGATTTGTGTAATCCATCCGCGCTGATATTTTTTCTATCAGTAGTAGCTTTTACTAGTAGTTATTTCCTCTCTTGCCTTGGCAAATTGGAACAGTTACTGACAAACTAGCCTGAAATAGTCGTAAACATGTTAAGAGTGATACGGGGTGTTTTGTAATCAAATTGGACTTTTCATCCGAGAGGGGGTGGCGGCAGATCCTATTTCGTTTCAATTTAATACAATATGTAATTAATCAGATAAATTCTGGAGATAAAATGTAGTATTGCGAGAAGCAATGTCCAGATTTTTTTTCGAGCGAGTAGCGATATTGCTATTGTCAATATTGTTTTGAGTAATACCACGCGTGTATGTGTAACTATATCAGCACGAACATTGTGAAAAAGAACGAGCGTTACGGCCATTACTTGTGAGAGTGGTGGAAAGTAGACTGGCGCAGTCGGGGCGATTAATTTGTTTTTGTAGTTTAAATAAAATAAAAAAAATTGCAAAATGGAAGTGTTAGCGCGAAATCCCCTGTAACTGCGAAATCATTTCGCGCTAACACCTCCATTTTCGCGATTTTATTTTATTTATTTAAACTACAAAACTACAAACACCAGTCTAGGTGAAAAGCACAATGTGCGTACTTCCTGGCGCGTTCTCGTTATTACAGAGGAATTCACAAATATATGATGTGACGAATATTGTGAAACACCAAACGATATTGACTCCAACTATATCTAAAACTAGTGAATATTTTGTTATTTCTATCTGTAATGTTGAATTTGAGAATAATTTTAAATTCGCAGATATATATGGACTATCCACATTTGGGAATGAATCGCCCGAGTGTTGCAATAGAACATTCTAAAGTGAACAAGACGACTCGCCGACTCTATGTTTAGGTTTTTTTTTTCGCAAAACGAATAATATATTGCTAATCGGCATGGTTTTATACATATACCAGTTATGATTACGTAAGTTTATACTACAAAAATTAAAGTGACCACCACTCGAAAGGTTGCAAAAAACAAACAAAAAACGATGGTATCTCTCGATTCATTGTGCTCTATGCACCGTGTTATTTTTGGACCTTGGTTCAGAAGATTATACCTACACGGTCGAAAAAAACTCCGGGTCAATATATATCGCGTACTAGTGTGGATAGAATACCACATATAGAATAGAATTCACATATAGAAGTTTTTAATTCAGACATTTAGTTTATTTGCAATTTATTTTAAGATGTTCAGACAATATGATATATTATTTTAGTTATAGACACAGTAATGTAATCGGTGATTCTCGGAGCCACCGTCTTCATACGGATGGAAACCGTTAGTTTCCGATTCATTGCCAGTATCTTCACAATCCCAGTAAAACCACTGATGACTGACGGTCATGCCGTAAACTTCGGGACAGAGAGTTGTTCGTTTGATGAGGACAAAGGGGTCGGTTGTTGGCAGGTAGATCACGTGGGCAGCGTCTGGCGCGTCTTCCCGACAACAGTAATGGATCATAGTATCTTCGTCGTAGATGCCGTCTGGTAATTCGCCACCGAGGTCGTTAGAGTTATTGAAATCTTCATCGTCCCAGTAGACATAGCCGGTTTGAAACCCTGAAACACAAAGCAAAGTCATCATAGTTGAGAATAAAAAAACTATGAATCAAACCGCGAGAAAACTCTAATTGGGCCCACCGGGACAAGCCCCTAGACCCCATATTCACTGTTCCTAATGGTCGCGTAAATATAAGCGTATGGATGCCGATCACCCTGCCGATATGGGTTTCATCTGTGTTAGGTAATCAATAATATATATTAGAGATATACTATATTCTAAATGACGAATAACATCAGAATCAAGTAAAAAAAAAATAAGTAGTTGAACGATATCGCTTCTACTAATCAACATCATTTTTGACGTTGTGCAAGCGATTGGCGTTAGAGGGCGCGACTCCAAGAATGTGTACGTGTTATTGTTCACTTATATACCTGCGGGGCAGACACCACCTTCTCTGTAAATACAGTACTCCCCCCGCATCCATTTCCAGTCATAAGTTGTGACGACATCGTTTAATTTCATACAGAAATTCTGCTGCATGTTGGCATCATCAACCGGTCCTTTCAAGCTGTAAGGGTCTGACCACTGATTATCTGCAGCGACATCAGCAGTGTCATGGTAGCGCCACCCTGTTGTATATGTAAAATCTGGCGACGAGGGACAACTGGGATTGAAGACTGTCTCTGGTACACCGTATAGACCATCGGGCCACGTAATCGGTGTCACTACAACAGGGTCTGTGGTTACATAAAATGAATGAGTAAGAGTACAATTACTATAATATAATACACATTCCTTTTGACAGTCTTGCGACGGCCACTGTAAGTTTAAAGCGGGGGGGGGGGGTCGCCACCTGTGCATGCGCTAGATGGGCCATAGCTTACATTACATTGTCGTTGTTTACAAAAAAGCGTCCACCCACGTGCTTTTGCATTTTTAGCGTGTGTTGTTATCGTCGCTTGGGACTCAATTCCCGCGCGTGCGCAGGTGACCATCCTCACACTTTAAGGTAAATTGATGATATGATATGGCACTGCATTAAAGCACAAAACTATTTTAATGCAATCTATGTTCTCGTACATAATATATTCGGCGGTATGTGATTGTCCGTACACTAACATTGTTGTACACACACAAATAAACACATTACTACGAACATTACCTTGCAAAAATGCAACATGCATTATTAACAACTACAAATGTAGGCATCGACCCACATTGTAATTCACGACGTAGATATGTGTCACTTACTTGAAGGGGTGTCAGCGTTCTTGTACTCCGCATATACTTGCAACGCCTTCAACACATTAATTTGCAGAGTGAGGAGGTCGGGTAACTCTTGCAGCGCACAGTCATATTCTGCAAATCGACCCCAGAAGGTGCTGTCCAAGACCTCATCTATGCTAATCACCTCAATTGCGATTGGAACAGACAACTCCTCGTCACCGGTGTGAAGAGTACCCAGTGATACACCAACACCTGACGTCGCAAGAGTCGTATACGCTGTCATATCAACGCGCAAGGAATCGTCATATCCGTTGTATGGGCCATTGTAGATGACTGTATTTGGATACTGAAATATTATTACGGAAACATCGATGATGCTTAATACTCACTGGAAGACATCAAATATCAACAAGCTGCAAGAAGCAGCGGCTAACGATAGTAGATATACTTACTTCTTCCGCTGCATGGTGCACCACATCAACTCTACCTGTCTCGTATCTTGTTGTAGATTTCTGACCGAGAGACACATTGATTACCACGTCCTGTAAATATAGATTATTTTCAATAAATCTAACGAGCTGCGCCAGTGGGATTGGTGTGGGTGACGATATCCGTAGAAATTTAATCAATTTAAAATTAGAAGGCACTCCGAGAGCGTAAACTTCCACAAAAAAATGCAAATTACTATGGTATATATTCTCACCCTGCCTCTTTAAGCTTTATTCACACAACGAATCAGACAATGATTCTGTCTAGTAATGGTGAAAACAAAATTTTTAAAAGCGAGGGACCCAGATCTCCCATATAATCTAACTACTTGGGTTATGTCTGAATCATAACAATGCTTAATAAAAAAGGAAAAATTGACTTTAAACTTGGGGAAATAAATAATAACTAAACATTCTAGTTCTATGGCAACGAGATCAATACCTCAATCAACTATTAACCCACAGGTATTTATTTTCAACAACCCACTTCGGAAACAAATTTATAACCACGAGTGCGAAAAGAACTAAGTCGTCACTATCATGGGTTTTCTATAACATATTTTCGGTTGCCATGGAAAGTGTACAGGACATCCAAATGATTACCGGCACTCGTATTACCACTTTTACACAAGTACGAGACTAAATCATGAAATTAATAATAAATAGTACAGAAAAGCCGGTAATGCACCATCTTGAAATGTATAATGCTCCAGCTACTGTCTCCATTGGAGGTGATTGGATACGAAATCGGAAGAGCAGACAATGGTAATGGTAGTGTGCATACTCGCGCAAGTAATGCAAAGTGAAAACGCACTTGTTCAGTAAATGATCTCAATAATACAAAAACAAAAACGTACACTCGTTCACGAAGCTTCAATATAAATTATAACTACGCACCGTTCCCCATGTATCCAAGTAAAGCATGTACTGTTGTTCATCATATACTAACGGCAAGTTACATGTCTGTGTTACAAAGTCAGCGTTGAGATAGTAGTTCTCAGATTCGAATGATCCCAACTTGTACGTGGCGTCGCCATGGTCACAAACATCCTTTTCGTCGAAGTACGTATTCCCGCCAATATTACTATTATCGTTAACCCAGTTATACACTGCAAAATAGATGAATGCCTTGGTAAAATGGACGTACGGGAATACCGGCAAGATTTTCTATCACGTAAAGTTTTCAAATGAATAAGAAATTGTTGTCACGTGTTCATACATATATCTTTGACCTGGGTTGGATGAATTCGCTCGGAGATTTATTTGTAATTTTGTGTTACACCCGATTAGTCTATTTTTTTCTCCACTTACTCTCAAATTTAGTTTAGTAGAGCGATTCTGACTGACCATGGGTCTATGAGCAAGAGCAAGTGTAGATAACTGAGCAACATATAATAGAGCAGACGGCAGGCACTGAACAGTTAGAGAGAACAGTGAGTAAATTAGATTACAGTGAGTAAAGTAGATAACAGTGAGTAAAGTAGATAACAGTAAGTAAAGTAGATTACAGTGAGTAAAGTAGATAACAGTGAGTAATGTAGATAAAAATGAGTAAAGTAGATAACAGTTAGTAAAGTAGATAACAGTGAGTAAAGTAGATAACAGTGAGTAAAGTAGATAACAATGAGTAAAGTAGATAACAGTTAGTAAAGTAGATAACAGTGAGTAAAGTAGATAACAGTGAGTAAAGTAGATAACAGTGAGTAAAGCAGATAACAGTGATTAATGTAGATAACAGTGGGTAAATAGATAATAGTGTGTAAAGTAGATAACAGTGAGTAAAGCAGATAACAGTGATTAATGTAGATAACAGTGAGTAAATAGATAACAGTGAGTAGAGTAGATGACAGTGAGTAAAGTAGATAGCAGTGAGTAAAGTAGATAACAATGAGTAAAGTAGATAATGAGTAAAGTAGATAAAAGTGAGTAAAGTAGATAACATTGAGTAAAGTAGATAACAGTGAGTAATGTAGATAAAAATGAGTAAAGTAGATAACAGTGAGTAAAGTAGATAACAGTGAGTAATGTAGATAAAAATGAGTAAAGTAGATAACAGTGAGTAAAGTAGATAACAGTGAGTAATGTAGATAAAAATGAGTAAAGTAGATAAAAGTGAGTAAAGTAGATAACAGTCAGTAAAGTAGATAACAGTGAGTAAAGTAGATAACAATGAGTAAGTAGATGACAGTGAGTAAAGTAGATAGCAGTGAGTAAAGTAGATAACAATGAGAAAAGTAGATAATGAGTAAAGTAGATAAAAGTGAGTAAAGTAGATAACAGTGAGTAAAGTAGATAACAGTGAGTAAATAGATAACAGTGAGTAAAGTAAATGACAGTGAGTAAAGTAGATAGCAGTGAGTAAAGTAGATAACAATGAGTAAAGTAGATAATGAGTAAAGTAGATAAAAGTGAGTAAAGTAGATAACAGTGAGTAAAGTAGATAACAGTGAGTAATGTAGATAAAAATGAGTAAAGTAGATAACAGTGAGTAAAGTAGATAACAGTGAGTAAAGTAGATAACAGTGAGTAATATAGATACAAATGAGTAAAATAGATAAAAGTGAGTAAAGTAGATAACAGTCAGTAAAGTAGATAACAGTGAGTAAAGTAGATAACAGTGAGTAATGTAGATAAAAATGAGTAAAGTAGATTACAGTGAGTAAAGTAGAAAACAGTGAGTAAAGTAGATAACAGTGAGTAATGTAGATAAAAATGAGTAAAGTATATAACAGTGAGTAAAGTAGATAACAGTGAGTAAAGTAGATAACAATGAGTAAAGTAGATAAAAGTGAGTAAACTAGATAACAGTGAGTAAAGTAGATAATGAGTAAAGTAGATAAAAGTGAGTAAAGTAGATAACAGTGAGTAAAGCAGATAACAATGAGTAAAAGTAGATTCCAGTATACAAAAATGGATAATAGTGAGTAAAACGATAATTGTGAGCAAAACTAGATAAAGGTGTACAAAATCAGACAATCTCGTGTATCGTCCCTGTATATGAGTCAGATCAGAAACTTACGTTCACTGAGAGTGAACTCGTATCCTTCCAAGTTGTTGGCGTCAGGGTCTGTAAATAATGCACAATAACAGTTAGAATGGATGAATTAATTAACTCGTATACATATGATTCTGCCAAAACTCGCTTATTTTCACGCTTTGTCCACTTACCCGCTCTTCCATGGTCCTTGAGACGGTGTTCTTGGTATCCCAACGTACCCCAGAAGTGTTCCTCAGTTCTTACGGTCTCGCAACTTACACCAAAATTGTAGTCCACTTCGTTGGGTTTTGGAACTCCTTCTTCATATGTTAACTCGAAAATGCGGTGCAGGAGATCCAGTCCTGGGTCGACACCTCCGATAGGTCGACGACCCTCTGGGTTGCCATAAAGACCATTGTAACTGACGCCAAGGTACTTGATAGCTCCAGGATCCTGAGTTTGTGCGAACCCTTGTGAGACAAAGATGAGATAAATAGAGAGTATCAGAGCCAATAACGACATCTTGTAGTCGTATGAGCGATAGGGGTTTTGAAAATAAACATATATAATGTGTGTGAAAATCTACCATTGATCCATCTGCTTTGACAGCATATAATTTATTTTTTGATTATTGAAATAGATATACCGATACCGTTGTATATTTCCCATGTGTTTATTATATCAATATTCAATTTACAAAATGCCAACACTCGCTGATGAAAAATATTTTGCACAATCCCAACCTTTTCTAAACAGTTTTCTTCGTAAAATTAGTTATCATCAGTCTTTAATGAATTTCTGTTTACCGTATCTATCATGATTTATATTTCAGTCAGTTTGACAGTGGTTGTCATGACATATACTGATAAAGGTTAATGACAAGACCAGATGGCGAGCTGGTCGAAATCAACCAAAAACATCTTATGACTCTGCAGTTTTTAAGATACAAGACAGTAGCTGTAATTCTAAACCAATGTTGTTTGCGAGTTTAAAAAAGGTAGTATCTTGGTGGAATGTTAGTGCGAGATTATTACCCCATCAATATTAGTTAGCGTTGACAATGTATAGAAATGTTTTCTCTAGATAGCTTGACGAGTAATTAATTGATTATGATGTGTAAAACTTTCATGTGATTGGTTGTTTGTTGGAAGGCAAGGCCTTGGAGTCTCTTATACTGATTGTAATTGGTTAAGGGGTGACAAGAAATAAAGATGGATTTAATGCTGTCTCGGGTGAAAACCAGGGACTTGGCAGAGAATCGTTTTGGGAACATGAACGAAGCTTGTGTGTGTCTTTTGTCAGCCTAGCGTGGAAACGACCGAATCCCGGTTACCTAAGTGAAAGGTTTTTAACCATCAAAAATACCTATCACATATCACTCAAACATGTATCTTATGATTCGTAGCGCTATTATAAAGATAAATGCGTTTTCTATCATTAGATTTCAATTTTACCAGTCCAATGGCTTTTTATATCCAAAACTTGTCCGCCATATTGATAAATTGTCTAAAGTACGAACTCCGCAAATCGTATGGCGATGTTGCCAGGAATTTCTATTCTGGGCTTTTTTTGATAAAGATGAATAATCACCTTACCCCTAAAGATTTATCATTGATCGTACCAGCCCAAACATAATGAAATTAATATAGACCGCTGCAAATGACAATGTAGTACACAACTGCTTACTTATTCAATTACATCTTCCACACGTTTTTGTAATGGAGTAGAAATTGTTATTTAGGAATTGTTGAATGAGCGCGCATACGGCACAAGTTACCAGTCACCCGAAGACGCAACATATTATAGTGTTAATCGTGAATATCAGTTTTCATATTGTATTGTATTCACGTAGTTTCTAAATTCAGATTTAGATTATGTGAAAATTCGCACAGGTGTGTAGTACTCAGTTAGATGGCATTCAACATTGAGGCTCTGGCAATAGGAAATTAATTTAATGATTACGTCACAGGAATCTATTAACGCCTGTCCAGGTCTGCATCATTCAGTTTACTAACTGCAGCATTGATATCAGTTCTATGTATGTTTAATCTGTTACAGAAATTATAATAACTACATAATAGGCGGAAAGCATGAATATATAAATATATGTTTATTATATATGTGTATTATTAAAAATATTAAAGTCAATAAATTTATTGCTGTGCACAGTATGTTTGCTGTCGATGGTGAAGTATGTAGGTATTTGTTTTCTAATATATATGCTATATACAGTCGATAATAATCTTTGTAGTTATTGTAGATGCGTACAGTAGACTGCATACAAAAGTGTCCTGTACATAAACACTTTATGAACCATGTATAGTCGGGTGTTTAGATTCAAACATTATATGTGCGTTTGCTTCTAAATAATGCTTTGCAATACGTCACCATTAGGTGATTGTCTAGTTAGGTCAATGACTATCGGAAACATAAATCATAAAATCTATATGCTAGAGCTAGACTTCACATACGGATCCTGATAGTGATTTTTTTAGCCAATCACAATTAGTTAATTAGGACCAATCATGTCCAAGGCTAATGATAGTTACTGACCAATCCCACATGGGATTAATTTTCGCGCCTTTTACCGAAGGTCAAATATAAGTCTATTTAAAGACAAAGCAAATGTATGTTTTTCAGTAGTCTTTGTTCCCGTCATCAATAAACGTTGCTGCTCTGTTCTACGTAATTTGTTGTGTCTTTGCTTAGTTGTCTGTTGCCGAACCGTTCCAAAAAAATACAGTTTTTCTCGTACGCTAAAATGCAGCATACGAGTTTGTAAAAAAACAGAAGAAAGAGAGAAGTGGGAAACGAGGTGTGATCACAGCTGACGGTTCAGATGAATGAGGCTGCACTATCTGTAATGAACTAATGTCTACATTCGCACACTTGTCAAATTCTCATACATCTATGTCCATATCGCAGCAGAGATATAAATTGTTAATATTTCAACTGCTTGTAATGTTCAACATATCATACAATTAAACAACCCTTGCTGACCTTCACAAAATGAAAAGGCATTCGCCTTTATTTTATGTGTTATTATGCTACCGATCAGATTGGCTATTTTTGTAACGCCAGCACTGACGTAAACATCAACCCTGAATGGCGGCGTATCATACAGGTATAACCATGGGTTAAAGCGGGTGAGTCGTCACCTGCGCATGCGTCAGATTGTCATAGCGTGTCATTGTTTACAAACAAGCGTCTACCCATGGGCCTTTGCGTTTTAGCGTGTGTTGTTATCGTTGCTCGGGACTCGATTCCCGCGCGTGCGCAGGTGACGACCCTCCCGCTTTAAATACGGAAACCTTAAATAGAAACTGTCGTTGCGCAGCGGCGATAAATCAATTCTCAATCCAAATATCCTATTTCCTAGTGCTGCATGGGTGCGTGTTTTCTCGTTTACATACAAAAATAACGTCTCTGATCAGATTAATATTTTCGGTTTGGGATTCAGTAACATTAATCTATGTGTTTAAGTTCAATTTTTGATGGCAGGCGTTAGTAATCTTTTATCACAACACAACAGTGAAATTGGCCAATCTTTTTTTTTTAATTATTTAATATAGTTTTTCTCGGGTAGAAATATTGTTGCGACAATGCAACAAGATATTGGCAGCATACCATCTTTTATCATTGCTTCCAATCTATCAGTAATGAACCAGTAACAGGAGTTGCTGCAGTACTGAAATGCTTACAGCACATTGTAATTTAAAGTGTTAAGATACATGATTTAAAGTATAGATGCATGTTCGTGGTCACTCGGATTTGTTTTCCTTTTCTTACCCAGACAGTCTTGGCTAGATAGTGTTGACATTTCGGAGCATTGTCAATGCTGGAACATGCCCAAAAATGGATTTTTAAATATAGGGAATCGAGGCACGCGTACGTGATTAAAAGTCCCGAAAGTTTGTTTACGTTGCTCTTTGATTGACAAGTCACTGTTGATGTTATATGCAAATGAGTTGCTGGCCTCAGTTACGGTGCGACGATGTGTAACTTCCTGTCCGCGACCCTGTTTAACTTACCTCAAGCGCTATCAATTAGTCTTGCAAACTACAAAAAAAAAGACAAGACGTAGACGCTTCCAGCATGCAAGCGGAATACAAAAAACCTACAGTTGTAAATGATAAGTAAACTGTTTTACCCTTATCTCGCAACATGTCGACAACTTCTAACCTGGCAGCTTCCAGTGGAGTACTGTTAAATATTTTTTTTCACGCATTTTTTTCTCCGAAGGCATTATAAAACTGACTAATTATACATTTGTCGTTTCGCTGTAACGATCACCGTGTTGATAGCATTGTGATGTAATAGTGGATAAACACCATTCAGACCATTACTGTGCTGTCATCGATAACTAACTTTTCAGTGGCAAAATACACAAACGTGAAATTCTCAGTTACTTAAAAATAAATACCCCGAAAATTACAGAAACATCGGCAACGAGATGCTGTTTTTAAACACCGCGGAAAAATCACGCACTCTGCGATGCCATCTCGGTTATCTTAATCGGAAACCTTCTTGTCAGCTAGCTTGCATCTGTAGCGATGTCGCAAAGTATGTTGTACGGCCGTGCTCGGCGACCTCTGGTACTATGGCACTCTATGAATGAGGTATTTCCAGAGGTCAGGGTTCACTCCCAAGTGCGCACGAACCTGCATATATCTTAACTAAAATGTATACATTTACATGACTAGAGGAGTCATATTTTCTTTTCAACATAACAATCACATATTTCTGATTCAAATACTGCATTGCCCGAAACAATAATGATAATTAATTAAACATTACTTACTGGATTTTGATAATATTTTATATTTCAAGATTGAAGAGAACAAAATATAGGTTTGGTAAAAGCGTATGTCATTGAGATGATTTTGCTAATGTTGGAAATTAATTTTTGTCCTCTTAATATGGTTGGTTTAATGTCTTCGTTCCCTAGCTCTGGTTGTACTTTAAAAATACCACACTGCATCTTTTTAGGGTTTTAAAAGTGGTCAAACAATCGAACTGTTGGACGGATAAAAAGTGAAAGGTAAAACTTGAAATTCATTTCCAGTGAGCAAGTTTCTCTGAAATAAACGATCTTTTCATTTGCCCCAATTAGGCACGTTAATTTATATCAATGAAGAAAGAGTGTAATAATGCTATTGTTTGTTTCAGTTCATTACTCATTTGTTTTGAAGTTTTTATGTTCACAAGTATTTTTTATAGTTTGAAATTCTAGTTTCACGAAATCATTTATCAGCTGCACGTAAGCCAAGGAAACTTCAACATGTGACTTATTATTTTTTACTATTATGTCTGTCTTTTTTAAATGTTATAAACAAACGTACCTTATTTAGGTTTATATTTAGAAATAAAATGTGATTTGTTTATTGAAACGAAAGGCATCGTGTGAGATATTTTGCTTATTAACACTATATACTTTTTATAATGCAGATTATAAACACTTTCGAATAAGGAATGATTTTAGTTTCTATAACTATACAATATTATGTCTTGATTCTACATTCCTAT